CCCCGCGATGCCGGGTCCCAGCGTCCATCCTCTGACAGTGCCTTTGCCTTTTTGTCTTGCTGTGTTTTCCCCGCAGCTCGCTGGCCCCACAGGAGGGAACGCCTCGGATCCTAGCAGCCCTCCCGTCCGCCTGATTCAGGGTCTTCTTTTAGTTTTGCGGGGGGAGGGGGGAGGAGTTTGGGAGGGAGGGGATGAGGGAGGAATTAAGACAAATATTTCCGACTGGTGTAAAGAACAAACATGGCAACGACGTCAAATGACTCCCGTCCATCGCTTTCTGCAGAAAGGGGCTCGTCCCCGCCGAGCTCGCTGGAGTTCAGACAGCTGGCCTCCGCCTGCGACTGGGCTCTGGTGGCTGTCACCAGGCTCTGGTTGATTATCGGTTGGGTAAATGCCCCCACGTGCTTGTGTCTTTTTTTTTCTTTCTTTCTGTATATAGAGTGATTTCAGATTGTAAATAGCGCGTCAGCGAACTTGTCTAAATCATATATTTTTGTCTAATAAACTAAATGAAATGAAGCCACTGCTCCTGCTGCTGTTTGTGGCTGTGGGTTCCTGAGTCCCAGAATTCTTGCAGGGCCCAAGTGCCCCAGGCGTGGGGAGGAGAGGCCCCTCAGAGAGCTCCCACCCAGGAGGTGGGTGTTTCTCAGTCTTGGTTGTTGAATTTGTGATATTGTCATTAGGGCAGTTTCTTGTTGATAGTTTGATTCTTAACAACTCTTACACATATATGTGGGACACCCCTTTCTCAGGACAGAAATGAGTTCGATTTTAGTCCATTTCTAAACTGATTTCTTAAAGTGGGCAACAGTGGTGAAAAAAATTTCCAATCTTGTCCCCAAAGGGGAACTTCAAATTTGAAATCAATGTATACTTCGTTGTCTCAACTGCATGGTTGCACAGGTCTTTCATGGGTAGAATGAGGACATAATGGAGTGAAATTTTGCTTTGAATGTATTTTTAGTTATTTGGCTAAATCAAACGTGGAGAAATTGGAAGACTTTTTAAAACTCTCCTGATGGAGAGCGGGGATGCAGGGTAGGGGTGTTCTCTGGGCGTGTGAGCTAGGCGACTGGGTAGTGGTGGTGGGGAGAAAAAGAGGGGAGGTTTTGGTCTTCAAGGGACGCCCCCTTTAAATTGCTGCGCCCTCGAGGGGGTGCAACGAGTGAGCGAGCCGAGGACCAAATAAATCCCCAGAGGTTCTAGGCGGGGCCTGCAGGCAGCTGGGAGTCAGGCGAGAGACAATGCTGGCCCGCTCCGGCCTCCCGCGCACGCGGGAAGGCAATGGCCCTGAGGCTCGGGACCGCGTTTCGCTCCCAGCAAGACCCGCCGCAGCAGCCTGCTTCGTACAGGGTCAAGATGACTTTGTTAAATTTGTGAAAACCAAGAAAGCAAACATTGCCAAAACTGCCAGTGAGCGAAGGAGGTGGCCTGCGGGGAACCTTCCCCGTGGGGAAGAGACCTAGTCCCCGCGTCCTACAGAGCCCTCCCCCACACCCTCCCCCGGGGCCTGATACTGGCCCTGGAGCCCCTTCGGGACCCTCCATCCCGGGCCGCTAGCGGCGGCGAGGGGCGGAGCTGTCTGTCCCGGCTCCTCTGGGGCTGGGGAAAG